TCCTCCTTATTTTTTGCCTGCTGAAACCTAGCAGTTCGTTTTTACGTACTGGTTGTGGAGGTCCCACCAACTGCTTTGCGGTATGGAGTCGCGGTCTCACCTCCCAGTACTTTCTGTGTTGTTCCAAGATCCACTGTCCAACTGCCACCCTAACTTGGGCATGAGATATACCGCAAGCAGGTTCTTGGTTGGTCAGTGGTTTCTCGGTCCCTGCCTTAGCAAGTTCTGCATCAATCTCGTTTTCTTTGCTCCTGTTAGTACCAGTTGCCCAAGTGAGTTTTATTCTGTTTGAGCTCCCGGTCAGGGTTGTAAGTTCTTTTACACAATCTAGCACACATTGTGACCTGATGTGTAAGATTCTAATGCCTTTATTGTGGCTTCATCTCCGGTTACGATGGTAATGTGCTTACGTGTGTAGGCTCTTTCCTTCATTTTCCGGGAGCAATTTGTTATTGCAAGGATGTTTGCTTGGAAAGCTGTCGTAGTTGTACCCTGGTTTAAGGTGATCCTTTCCCCAGTTCTTCCTTTTTCGACTATACCAGCGCCTGTGCCCGACGCTGTTTTTATGCCCTCCGTGTACCATATGGAGTTCCCTGTGATGGCTGATGGAGTCTCTCCACCATCTCGCCCCTCATTTAGAACATATGTTCTAAAAGGTACCGAAATGCTTAGAGTTTTGATTCGATCAGCTTTTGATCCCATGGGTTCGACTGTCTTCAATTTTCTGAAGATCGCACTGTGTCCCAAATTCGTCGCTTTCCTGAGGACATCGTCACCCATACGGTAAGCGCTTCTTAGGGCCTCAGCTTCAATGGATAAATGCAACGGCTCCAGCCCCAGGAGTGTCTCCATAGCGGCCAACGAACAACACTTACGCATCCAGCAAGTATGTTTGGATTATCAGTATAAAACATCCACGGATTTCTGAAAGACAGCCAAAATATTTGTAACCGCTAGCGACGAACGAAAAGCTACAGCAACTCGTGTCCTCCAATCCAGATGACAATAGACCAAAGCCAAGCCACCAAATAGGCCAAACCACCAAGTGCAAGCACACACAAAAAAGCCAACTCAGAAACCTAAGCAAGCAATAACAAGAAGGTAAACCAAACAAACAACAAGAAGCAAATTAAAGACGGCAAAGCTAAAAGTAAAAAACGCCAGACGGCCGAGAAAAAATGCGTGCAACTTGGTGAGTAGGAGTCTCACATAATCTACGCTCTTGGAAGAAGGGTACCTTTATGGTCGCCAAAAAGCTTTGCTGGAAGCAAACAGAAGTACTTGTATTACAAGTCTTAATTGCCGAATTTATCGCGAAACTTATTACTATCTTTCGGCATCAAAATGCGCAACGAATGAAACATTTTGTGGCGTACTTTTACCAATTTAGAGCACAGATCGATGCTTTGCTTATAAAACAATTGTTAAAAGCCAGCGCATATTAAGCAGTAACTGCAACTTTTAATAATATGATGTATTTTCACTTGTTGTAAGTCGAGGCACGTCCCATAAAGTTGACAAAGATTGATTTAATTGGGAAAATATACTTTAAAGCAGAAAAATGTTATTTTCCGTCTCACTTGACATTTTCCCCAAAGTTAATAAACAAACACAAACCAGGAAACATTATATTTGATATAATTGCGACCACATTCAAATCTAAATTGGCTTAGAGGGTTACGGTGAAATCAGACAAATTTAAAACTTGAGAAAGTTTCCTACCTAAACAGCACGGGCTTTACCTCGTTTTCCAAAGTTGAAATTAATAATTACAACGTTAACAACGCAAGTTTGTTTTGATGTGCTTAAAAATGTTCTCGGGATAATTAGCAGATGTTCCAAAGTACTTTAGGCTTTAATTTAGTATGCACGTTAAGGTGATTAAAACAATGCTATTATGTAAGTATCTCTTCACTGAGTATAATTCGCTTTTTTCGACATTATTTTGAATACTTTTTGGTATTGTATCATTTATTTTTAAGCCCTTTAATGCTACAGTAATTTTGGAGCTGAATAAGATGTCATGAAGCTAAACGATGTTTATGAATGCTTTGTTTTTTTATCCCAATGGTTTCATAAAGTTTTCCAAAGTGCCGCTGATAGTTTTTTCTTACAGCCTGACAGTGTGGGAAAGCTTCACTACTTTTTCGGTAAAAGTTCCATACATTCAGCTAATTACGCACCTAATTTGAAAAATAAGTTATATTAAGGATTTCGATTCTGAAATACATACTAGCTCATTTTTTTAGAGCTATGCTCTTAAAACTTCAAATAGCCCTCATGCGTTTCAACATTCGGATCGAAATGTTGCCGGGATGGAAGAAGAACTTGAAATTTAAGCGCGTTTCTATTTATTCTCGATTTCCAAATACATACAATTGTATTTTACTTGCTTATAATTTCTAGCTTGCTCATTTAAGACGATGCAAATGCCCTGTTATTTGAGCAAATAAGTATTAATTTCTGGAGTGAATTCATTCATTTACAGAGAAAATATCTTGTATTTCTCATAAATGTTACATAAAGTTCAGTTTGGCAACATGCCAATTTTTGATATTTTGCTGACCAAAATGCTGCCACTTTGATATGCCCTCATATCCGTGTTCTCCTTTAATGCCAGTCGTTTTTTGAAGATTTAATCCCAAATTGAAAAGTAACATTAAAGTGAACCGAACTGAAAGGAATCCCTTTGCTCAGTTGGTATCAAAAAATTGATAGACCCGACCACAAAGCTCGTCCGTATGAAAGCAGCATCTGCCGGTGCATCCTTTAATCTTGTTTATGTGAAAACTGTGCCATGGAAGTACAGTGCCAAAGGGAATTGTTTACCTACTTTCATCTGGAGCATATAAATGCAAGATTATCGTGTATATGCCAGTTTGGGAAGGTAGGATTGGAATACGAGATAAGTTAAATATTGTCTGCATCGAGTATAAAAGAGCAAAAGAGCAACTAGAAGATATGAACAGAACGCTGCCATAAAGCACAAAGTCTAATATCAAATATATTCTTGTTTCAACAGACGTTGCTTCTTGTTATTTTCTCCAATAAGAAACTTTTGTGTATTCAGCAAATATGAGACAAGCAAAGTCTAAAAGACGAGTATATTGTGTTTTCGCAGTCAAATTAGCCTGTTCACATAAGAATACAATATTGTGGCTTCAAATAATTTGAGTGTTTTATTCGCTATTTGCTGAGTTTCTAAGCTGCTACTATTTCGAACTAGAAGGCACACTTAAATCAAACGCAGACATGACACCTCTTAAACTAAATGGGCTTTCTCTTAATAGAATTTTCCAGTTTTGCGCTTGAAGTAGATGGGATGGGATTGGAATTGAAGTGGATGGAACAAGCGTGTGGAAAGGATTCAGTTATTCAAAACTTAAATTTCCTGTACTTTTGAAGTTTTGAAAATGTTAGTATTTTTTACGATTACTTTAATAATAATTAATTACATTAAAATAGTTTATTATTATTAATAAGCTATAATCTTTCCTTTGCCAAAATTGTTAATGTTCTATTGTTAACAGAATAGTATATCGTAAAAATCACAGTTTAGGATTTCTTGAATTGCATTTACTTGAATTTTACTTGAGTTTACTTTCAATTTTGCAAGATGGAAAATGAAGTTCATAACAACAATAACTTTGCACCACGAAATATAACTGAAACTTTACACTAATCTAACATTAGAATTCCGCTGCGTATCCTGTTCCTCCATATCACCGTTATTTCATTAATACTCAAAATGCCTATAGCTAGTTTGGAAGCTACATAATTAAATTTTCCTTTTACTGTAACTTCGATGGGTGCAGATTAGAATATTTAATTCCACTTTAGCACTGCAACGAGTAATTATTTTTGTTTTATACCATGCTCTTTATTAGGTGAACGTAACAGATTAACTAAGTTTCCACCTGAGTTGGAGACGAAATTCATCTACAATGAATGTAAGTTAGAACAAAAATTCCCTCTTAACAGCGAAAAATCCCTAGCCGTTCCATAATCAGATCTCGGTCGAAGGAAAACACGAAAATGTACTTTATTATCCAGCCATATCAACTGGCTAGTAGCTAAACCCCTTAAGCTGATACAGGTATATATTAATTGGGGTCAATCCCCTGGAGAACCGTAAGGGATTGTTTGGCGATATAAAGCAAATTAAATAAATACTAAGAAACAGATATGAAAGCTAAATATTAGTTATAATACATTTGTGTTACAAGATCGCACACAAGGTAAATCTAACGGACAACCTTTAATTTGCTGCAATAGCGAATTAGTCCTTGAACACCACAAAGAATAACCACAAAATGCTGCTGAATTACGGACACCTACAGCACAGACTGAGAGCAAATGCGTCCTATAGAAGGAAACAACAAAACAGATTACACCAAGTAAAGTAACGAAAATAAGACCCGCTGCACAATCCATCAAACTAACTGTTGTATGAACCAAATGCTCCAAATGAGAATAAAATTGATTATCAAGATCCATAACTGGACCATACTGAATAGCGTTGTCTTGTAAGACATAGCGGACAATCTCGCTTCTTTTTCCTAACAAAAGCGCTACGATAACACTTACAAACACACTGAAACGTGACATAAAAAATAAAATAAATCGGTACAATTAGAAGAATGTTGCAATTTTTAAACCTTATATATCATACATTATATTCAAAAATAGAACTGTTTTTTAAATATAGATTATTAGTTATCACATAAGTATACTTATATAAATTCTAGTAAATAGAAAAAACGAAATTAAAGAAAGCGAAAACTTAATGGAGTGCATGGTAATTTCAAAATATTCGCGTCATTATTTAGGACTATTTTATGGTACAATGGATATATTCAAAAGCCTCTGAAGCTCAGCTGGATGTTTAAAATACATGCATGCACATAAAATAACACGCAGATTATTGCACGAGCATTAGTGTGTAAAATAAACCATTTCCTTGCTAATATGTTGAAAGCCTCTGAGATATAATTATTAACTAGCACAAGGGAAGCTGGTGTGAGTGGATATTTGCTGGTTTGCGTTAGGAAAGATCTATGTGATGAATTATTTGCGCAGATTATTTCCAGTTTGAAGCGTGAAAGCTAAATTATTGTTTACGGCGAAATTGGCAATTTAAATATTTTGTAGAGCTTTAGAATAGTATTAATGTTTTCACTAAATTAATCAGTGCTGAGAAGTCGTTTTAAATATTGCCTGGTTAGCCAGAATATATATCAAAAGTAGTTAAATTGAGGGCTAGATCGCAGATTGAAACTTTATGTAAGTTTTCTTAATTTGTGAAAGCTTTTTAACGTCAACGCATTAATTAACATCAAAATATCCGGTTTGAGGTATTGGATTTATAAATTTGGGGATGTAGTATGAACGAAACAATTATAAATAAAAACAAAACAAGTAGTGTAGCAATTCTTTCAAGAAAGTGTCGCGTCATATTTAATAAGACCACTAGCAATTGGCCTGACATTGAGGCACTTAAACCGCTTTTAAACCCTGCTTCAATCATTAAAGTCCGAGCAAGTCGTTTTGCCTGTTAAATTTAAGTAGCTTTATAAAATAAATGTGCTTTTGCACAAAAAAGCTGCATTTGCTTGATAAAGGGTCGCTGATATTACAGTGATGCCGCATACAAATTGCCCATAATCTCAGACAGCAAGATTATAACATTTTTTAAAGTCTTTCATAGTAGTTTTTCGGTTTTTTTTATTCGAAAAATACGTGTGTCCA